TTGGTTGCACAAGTAAATACAACAATTGGTGGTAAAAATTTAATTTCAATCGATAGATCAAATCAATTAATATGCTTGGGGGTAAATTATTATTCAAAAGATAACAGTGATTTGAACATTAAATCAAAGATTTTCATTTTCAAACCCGATCAATTAAAACCGGTTTCTGTGTTAGATCATAATAAAGGTATTTCATCAATTCGTTACTTCAATTCTTCCTTCATTTTCGTCGATTTAAATTCAACTATTGGTTATATATCATCATCTAAACTTAAATTAGATAAATTAGATGAATCATTATTGAAGATTGATGAACCTATAAAACCTCGTACTCAACCTCAATCTCAATCAGCTCCGGTTAAAATTGATGATAGTTCCCAGGTTGTCAAAGCAATTGATGTGAATACATTCCAACCAGTGTTTGATAACATAGAAGGTATACAAATAGATACATTGTTTGATCGTATAGTTAAAATCGTTAATTAATCAAGAGACGAATATATATATAAAAAAAAAAAAAAAAAAAACGACAAGTTTCTATGTACAGAAAATTAAGAAAATTATTTAGTTCTTTGTATGGCCAATATACTTTCCATTTTATTTAAGGCAGTTTCTAATAAATCTTTTCTTTCTTGTAATTCGATATGTTTTTTAATTTTCGGATCTTCTTTGGCAAATAATTCAATTTCTTCATTAGTTAGGTTATTGAAAAATCTTTGATCTAACTCTCTTGGGAAGTTATAATAAAAATCACTTAATAATTCAACATTTAAAAATAGAATTGAAGTTGAAGTCAATTTTGAAGCCACTGCATCCAAAAAGATTTCAGGACATTGATATTTGTTTTCTTTATTTTTACATTTTTTAGAATTTTTAATGAATTGATATCTCATCTTAAGTAAAGATAATCTATCTTTTAAGAAAATACCTTCTTTACCTCTATCAATTAATTCATTCAGAAATCCCAAAGCATCATTTGTATCAGTTCTGTTTGATTCTAATTTATCAAGATAAGTCATAACTTGTTGTAGTTTTCTTCCACCGATTGATTTTTTCAAATTATAAAAAGTTTCATCACATTGTCTGATTTCTTCTTTTAATAAATTGACTGCATTTTCTTTACTTGATAACCATTCACGATCTTCAATTTCGATTTCATATTTATAAGGTTTGATACAATTTTCAACCTGATCAGCGGTAGAATAATATTTAGCACTTAAAACTGATTTAGCAGCTTCACTAACTGCATTACGAGCCATTGGATGATTTTTCAATTGAGTGAAGTCAACCAAATTTTCAATTTCAGTGATTAAAGAATTTGTTATTAAACTTGTTGATAATCTACCAACACCCAATTTAGTTAACAGACTGGTAGTTAAATCTAATTTTTTATGCCAATAAATGTCATCATCAATATTTGCTAATTGAGATAATTCTTTTAAATTAGGTTCAATATCATTTTTTAAATTGCCCGGTTTATTCCAGTATCTTTCAGCTAATAAATTTAAAACTTTTTGATCTAGTTCATTTTTGAGTAAAGATTTCAATTCTCTTCTTGAAAAATGATTACTTAATTCTTTAGTTGTTAATTTCAAGATATCAATATTGTTTGCCAAGTACATTTGAGGAGTTAAAGGACGATCGTTAAATTCCACTTTGAATTGATAACTAGTTTCTTCTAATTCTTGTTGAATAGCCAAATGGGTTGGTCTTAAAGCATTTGCCATTGATTTTTCTAACACCTTCATTAATTTTTTTTTCAAATGTTTAGTACTGGTAACGGTACCAAAAAATTCTTCTTTATTTTTTTTGAAAAATTGATATTCATAGTTTTGTTGAGCAACGTATGATTGATAACTGTTAATTTTATTTCTAGTAAATAAGTTTGTTCCGCTTACTTGTTGAGGAGGAGCTTTAGTGATCACACCCACGTAACCCATTCTAAGAGGATATTTTTTATTAGTCAAGATTTTATAAGCAATTGAAGGATCCACCAAGTCGACTTTAGTAATGACCCCAATGGTTCTTTCACCTTTAGGGTCGGCTACTCTAGCGGCTTTCAAAGCAGAAGAATTAGCCAAGTCAACGTCTGCCGCCGAGATGGCCAAGATGATATTTGGATTTTCCAAGTATTTATCACAAACCGATCTGATTTTCTGTTTTAATTCAATTGGTTGATCAGCGGCTTCAATTTGAATATAACCGGGCAAATCCACCAAGGATAAGTCGGGGACTTTAGGAGATTTGATGGTGATTTGGATGGGGTCGGAAGAAATGCATTCGTTTATGGGGACTGCCATATTCAAATCGTATAGAGTTTTTTGGACTTGATTAAAATCGGTGATATTAAATATTTTCAAGGCGGGAAATTCAGCAGTTTCCAGAGCCGAATTGGGCGAGTTGATCAAAGTTAACTCAATTGGTCTTCTGGTCACCATATTACTACCTTTAGGTAAGAATTCCTGGCCCACGATGGATTCAAGAACCGAGGATTTCCCACTTGATTGAGAGCCAATCACCACAATAGAAGGTAATTTGAGAGAGTCGCTTCTGGAGTCGACTGTCATTAGCAAGTTCCGGATTTCAATCATTTGTTTAGTCAAGTTTAGTATATCGTCATTAGTTGAATCTTCTTCATTGTCGTCGTCGTCATCATCATCAATTAGGGTTTCTTCGTCATCCGACGAAAGCCCCACTGCTGCCGCGGTGGCCACTGCGGTGGCACTAGTATCACCACCACCACCACCACCACCGCTACCACCATCACTTTGGCCTGAGCTAGATGAGTCCGATGAATTACTTGATTTTAAAAAATCGCTCGTTTTATCAAACATCGAATTGGTGAAATCCTTGAATGCCGATAATCGATCGTTGGTATAGCTGGACGCCTGTTCGACTTTATAAGCAACGTAGGACCCCCCGGCGGCCATGGTTCCACCCACATAAGCTGGAACTCGAACAACTTTTGATAAAATTTTGATAAAGCCGATGTTTCTTGATTGCACAAGCTGGGCGTTGGGCCCGAAGCGGGCGTTTCTGACAAGCGGATACGACGTGCGTATTAGCCTGGAGTATGGCCTTAGACCAGCTCTGGGTATCATCTTAGGAAGGGGAATACTAGACTTCCATCAAGAGGTGGCGGCTATCCTTGATCAACAAAACAAGCTGATCAGAAAAAACACCACATCTCTGGTGTCCGGGTGTTCTGGCTGGTTCTGGGTAACCACACGCCCGCTCCAATACCCCACTGGTGATGGTTCTGTTTTTTACGTAAACACACGTATTACGTAAAGGGGTCAAACGTTGCGCGCATTACATATTTCTCATCTCAACCTCTCAAGATAAACTTAATATATAGATATATAACAAAACAACAGTAAAAGAAAAAGCCAAAAAAAAAAAAGAAGTAAAATAACCTTGTTTAAGGTATAGCGAAGAAGAAGAGAAAAAAAAAAATCAAAAAATCAAAAAAAAAAAAAAATCAAAAATATTCATAAAACACCAATAGTATGAGTATACCAAGAGCATACCAAGTGGTACACCAATAGTATGAGTAATAGTAGCAATATCGTAGAAACTTCGTAATATCAAGGGATAAGAAGAAAAAGACTCACACGAGAAAAATTCAACAAAAAAATATAACAAAAAATATAACACAGACTAGTTTAAACTAGGGCACTAGATAGAAAAATAATCATCATCATGTCTAAGAAGACTTTTTATCGGAGGAACCAGACTTGCTGGAGCTGGGACCAAAGTTAGGCATGGTAACTTGAGCCATTGGTTGAGTAGCTTGGGTATTATTAGAAGAAGGCATTTTAAAATGAGCGAATTTGATTATATGGGGCAGAGAAAGCAGAAGATAAAATGTGGGATTTCCCAGTTTATATAGGATTTTTGGAACAAAAGTTCGAGGCCTAAAAAGAAAAGACACACCAAAACAAAAAAAAAACCCACTGAAAACAAAAAAAAAAAAAACCACCAAAAGCAAAAAAAAAAAAAAAAAAAAAAAAAAAAAAGATCAAAAAAAAAGAACACACGCACTAATACAATATTTTTTAATCCATCTCTCTTAAAGATGGAAGTAAATCGTAATAACCAGTCATTCTTACAATACAAAGATTAAAAGAGTATCGAAAAACAAAGAATACCCCAAGGGTTTACCTCCATCAGCATAATACCCAGGGTTTTGTTGTTTTTTTTTTTCTGTATTGCTTGCTGTTTAACTCAGATAAAAAGGACTACCGAAACAAAAAAAAAAGGGCTAGATTTCAAAACCTCAATAAGTCAAATATGAAACAATTATCCTAATTCGGGGTGCTTGCTCATGCATTTTAATTAATCTTCAGTTATTTTTTACCTAAACCATAACTAAAAGCTCTTGGGCAATTGACTCATCGTGTCTCAATGCTTATCCATTCTCCTTCCGCCAGAATACGATGTTGGGGCTGGTTGTAGACGACACCGATAAGACCCATTACATCACTCGCCGGGGGAGCACGTCAAGCGGGTCCTGCGCTCCGTACATCTGAAATTGGCGATTCTTTGTCGCTGGGGGGGTCGATTGGTGGTGCCTGGGCCGCGCGCGCACGACCTCCTCCGGCGATCTTCACGCAGGATACTCGTTAGCACGATGTAAGTGGTGTTCTTTCCTTTTGTTCCGGTTCTTCGGCCGTTAAGGATCTAGAAATATACTACCCCTTCCGTTATTTCCATACACACTCTGTTCAAATCCGCCCGTGCCCATAGGTACCGGTAGGTATGATATACCAATACATGCTGATGTCCATACTGATATCCATGCTGATATCCATGCTGATATCCATGCTGATATCCATGCTGATATATATGCTGATAAACATCCTGGTATACTATTGTAGTGGTCGTATAGTTGAGCAGAAAATACCCATGGCGTCATTTGGCTTACACGAGTAAAACCCTATTTCTTTAATTCTATTCTCGTCAATAGGTAAACAATGGAGAAGAAAAAAAATAATGCCTGCTTCCACACGGATTCGAACCATGGATCGCCTCATAACCCTGGACAACAAAGTTATACAAGTGAGGTGCCTTACCAACTTGGCCATAGAAGCTTGTTTTATGCCAAAATCGAATTCCGCTTTGTCCGGTGTGTGGGTGTTTTGGATGTGAAATTTGGGCTTTTTTTGAGCTATTTTATTAGAATGAAGTGATAGAAAGGAAATTAGAGCACTGTCGTAATCCCAGAACTTGCTTCTATGGAATCCAGCTGAAAAATTTAATGAAATGCGGTTGTTTTGTTTTTTTGGTCAGACCAAGGTCTGTCGATCTGGTCTATACCAGAATAATAAAGTCAGTATGAAGTAGGTTCTCACAAAGATATCCTATATATCATTCTATAAATAGACACCCCCACGTAAGTGGAAATGAAAAGTGTACTTCTTCTTTACCGTGGGGACGGCTTCATTGGTTGAAGTATAGGCTTCGACCAAAGAGACATTCTTCGGTAAATACACTTTATTCTATCATTTGGTTTTACTATTTAACTCCCTTTAATTACGGCGTAAAGATTGAGCTAGGTAATAAGTTAATCCACTACCAATTACATCTCAGTATCTGGCTAATGTCTTATTGCGTGTGTCATGGCATAGGTCTGATCAGCCCGATAGATGACTCAGAAGTATTATGGTTTGTTATATGACTATACTTTGTATTGACTTTCTTGGTTGTTCTGCCAAGTTGAATGATCTTCGACAGACCCAACTCAAACAAGTAATATGCATAATTGCATTATAAACCAATAGATGTAATTTCGTGTTCGTACTAATCTCGTTTAATACTGTATATTTACGAATGTAACCATTCCTATATATTGGTTAAATTACGAATGCTTCTAATTCCATCGCTCTTACGAGTTATAAACAATAATATTAAAGTTTGTTCTATTTTTAGTATGCTCTATTTTATCCCCGTGGATAGCCTTTCGATCGGAGTATACCATGTAACCTCATTGCGCAGCCGTGTAAGCCACAGTAGCTTAAATCTTTCCACTTGGTTTTGGGAATGTAACATTCATCTTCATCGGGAACTAATCTCTTACATACTTTCAGTGTATGACTCGAGATTTTTCATTCATATCTGCTTTAGACTGAAAATTATCAATATCAAAGCTCGCAAAACAGGTATTTGTTATGCTCTTAGTTTCGACTCTTGATTCGTCACGGTTTGATCTCATTTTTTAATCATTTAAATATGTTCTCTCAATCTACAAGTTGATATAGCACCATGTGGTTGGAGATGAAATGTCGCTCGTCATCACAAATGTCGCGGTTGTATGTCGCGTCAAGATCGGTTGCAACAGCTTTGGCCATAAACGACCAAGCTTGGCAGTTTACCAAGCCTCAAGTTGGTTGCAAATTTTAGCTGGATTCCTTTACTATCGTAGAATTTTGATATTATCACTAATTTGTATTCTCTAGCTTTTGTCTATGCAGCCTTATCTACTTTTACGTTCTATGCTCTATTACATAGTTATAACATCGTCCCCTACTCTGCAAATATCGTGAGTCTCGGTATGACTATATATGCCGCATTTGATCTTACTTCCACTCCCAATATACCCGTGATGAACATTCGAGCCAGTATCCTCGTATTGAGCAGCGAACAGGTTGATCCCTCTAGAACTAGCTCCCCACACACATTCCAAATTCATTGATTGAATACCTATCTATTTCCACAGTGTCTAATGCAGTATCAGTAAGACTCCCCGCCAATAATAAATCTAGCTCCATACCAATGCCTCTAGAGTATCTGGCAATATGAGCAGGAACATCATTGCCTCCAAGTGTTAATACTAACTGGTCTGTCAAATAGCCTGAGTTCCATGGTATGGAAAACAAATCTCTATTAAAAGTAGTAAGGTTAGACACCTCGTCGTCCCGTCTCGAGAATCCCCTGTTTTCTAAGTCAATATGATAATATGGAATATTATCGCTATATTCGATGGAGTATGGAGCATTAGAGGGCCTTGCTACATATGCTAAAACCTTAGTACCAATGCCATAAATAGTGTTGCAATTCCTATATCCGACACACACTCTTCGCTATATACGAAAGAGCTTTGGTTTGACAAGTCAGTTGTCCAGCAACTGGTGGAAAGATTGATCATTAATGAAATTGCACACCAAACAATAGCAGTTACTGCTATTATAATAGCTCGGGCGCGTGTCTCCCATCATTCCTGAACAGGAGTAATGATAATTAATATGAGGTACACGAAGAGACTTGGTGTCATATTGTAATTAATTTTTTTTCGATAGAAAGTATATCTTAAAAATGTATTTCGTTTTTCGAAAGAGTAAGATGGCAATAGAATTGTTTACTACCACTTCTATTCTTTTGGAATCCTTGACGCTGAGGGTATTCTGATATTGCTCAGTGTGTCGAAAGTTCTCTAATGGAAAGAGTTAATAGTACTCAGTAGTTCATTTTGAGTGGTGATGGTTTTTCAAAAATGATAGACATACCTCAAAAGTATAAAAATAGAATGTTACAGTTTTAGTCCGTATTAACATCCGATTATTAGACCTTTGGTATTAACCCTGCCTTCATCAGTGATTAAACTTACACGCTACTTATATTTGAGTCAAGATTTCCTTTCTATGTTCTTGCTTAATTAGGTGCACCAATAGGCACTCGATCGTTTGACCTGTCAAAAAAAAAAAAAAGAAAAATTAAATTAGACAGCCGTATGAGCCACACTAGTACGTAAATTTTCTGTCGACTCGATTCATATCCTAGATTCACTATAAAGATGGTTTATCTTATAGTTGAAAAAAAAAATCGGCTTTTCACTAACCAAATTCGATCTCAGGTTTATTCATTATTATTGAAAAAAGATGCTTGGTGGGAGAGATTTACCTCTAAATGACGAGAAACATTGTAGTTCTTCACACCTATTAACTTAGTTAATATTACAATTGCTCAGTTGTATCTCCTGATCTCAACAAAAACATAGCTAGTGTTGTAATTATGGATAAATCGCCGGACAAATGCAACAACGGCTGAATTTGAAAAATCAATATGACAAAAGTCTCAACTCGATGACGTGCTAGCACCCAGTTAACTGAAATTTTGCCTTTAGATATTTGCGGCCATATATACGATGACATCGTAAATATAGATATATATATATATATATACATCTGTAATCTTTACATCGATGTAAGTATCTTTGGCTGGGCAGGGAAAAGTATAAAAAATAATGACGGAGAAAAAATTATCCGAAACAGAGATAGTGAATAAAGAAGAAAAGCTTGACTACTTCGGTGAGCCTATAGAGAGAAACATAGGGTCAGACACTGAGAACTCTGCTGTTTCATCATCTTCTTCGATCAATGAAAATTTAGATCCAGATGTGCTAGCTCTACCAAAAATCATCAGAGACGTTGTTCCCTTAGAGGATGATCCGACTATACCAGTCTTGACCTTTCGATATGTTTTACTTTCGATTATTTTTGTTGCACCTGGTGCTTTTATTTCAACACTTAATTCATTTCGTACCACATCTGCTGCTTACAGTATATTTTTCGTTCAAATTTGTAGTCATTGGTTAGGTAAATGGTTAGCTAAAATCTTACCTAAAAAGACAATAACTCCATTTGGTATTGAAAAATTAAGTTTTAGTTTGAATCCTGGTCCTTGGTCAATCAAAGAAACAACTTTAGTTACAATCACTGCATCCAGTGGTGCTACTGGTTCGCTTGCTACAAATGCCTTTGCTTTGGGTGAATTATATTTCAATACTACTGTTCATCCAGCAGCAGCAATTTTTTTCATGTATTTTATTGTTTTGGCTGGTTATAGTTATAGTATATTACTGAGAACTTTCCTTGTTTTTGATTCTCTGTTTGTTTGGCCACAATCTTTAATGCAAACTGCATTACTTCAATCATTTAAGAATTCTGACAATGATTCAAAATTGGGTCGTAAACAAGTTAAAATCTTTTTTTCAACTTTAATTGGTATTACAATCTGGCAATTCTTCCCGGAGTATATCTTCCCAATGACTTCTTCTTTGGCGTTTTTATGCTGGGTGGCATCGAGTAATCCAACTGCAAATTTTATTGGCTCGGGTATTGGTGGTATGGGATTTCTTAATTTATCATTAGATTGGGCGAATATTACTTCTACTATATTTTTATCTCCCTTTTGGGTTCAAGCGGTTAAATTCATTGCTTTTGTCTTTGGTGCTTGGATTCTTATACCGGCTGCGAAATGGTCAAATTTATCTAATTATAAATATGCATTAATGTCAAACTCTTTATACACAGATGACGGTGAACTTTATCCAACTTCTTTGTTAATAAATTCAGATTTTACTTTTAATTCTACTGCTTATGAAGAATATGGACCTGTTCACATGGGAGCCCAACGAGCTTGGAATATGTTTTTCGATTATGCTGCATATATTTCTGGTATAACTTGGGTTGTTCTTTTCGGTTACAAAGGCTTATATGAATCATTGAAAAAAGTTATTAAAAATGTTAAATATCAACGAGAAAATAAAGATTCTAATATTCATCACTTATATAACGATAGAATTAATAAATTGCAAGCTGCTTATAAAGAGGTTCCCTTTTGGTGGTATGTTCTACTTTTCGTTACTTCATTTATTACCTTAATCATTATATCAGCAACCAATGCCATTGCATTACCATGGTGGACGGTTATTATTGCATTTCTTATTGGTATAGTAATTGTGGTTCCCCTTTCATGGCTTTATGCTGTATCCAATTTTCAATTACCAATCGGAACATTTAATGAATTACTTTTTTCATATATGATTAAATCACAAGAACATCGTAATCCGATGCTGGCTAATTTATATGGTGCACTTGCGGGAGATCTCTGGTATAGAGCACAATATCAACTTCAAGATATGAGTATTGGGAGTCGTATGCAACTACCACCAAGATTAGTTTTCATGTCCCAGATATTTGGTATATTAATATCATGTCCAATAAATTATGGATGTATGAGATGGATTTTAAATACTAAAAGAGGATATTTAGAAGGTAAAGAAGCAGATCCAACCGGGCAATGGACTGGACAA